AGGGATCTTGGGGTCATAGTGGACCATAAGCTAAATATGAGTCAACAGTGTAACACTGTTGCAAAAAAAGCCAACATCATTCTGGGATATATTAGCAGGAGTGTTGTAAGCAAGACACTAGAAGTTACTGTTGGTAACAGCTGGGTAGATGGCTTGTAGGGTGAACCTGGCCTATGCATATACATTTTCTTAGAGAAATTTTCTGTTTCCAACTGTTCGTTACATCCAGAGGGTAAATTTTGTCATTTATTCTGAGTTTGTACAGCACCCTGCATAAGGGTCCCAGTCCTGATTAGCCCTTGCCTCTAGGCACTACTGTATTAAAAATAATAGTAATGCATATTTTGAACAATGTGACTATTTAAATAAGTATTTCTCTTGGTAACTTATTTGAATGGAGAAGAATATAGATTTCTTGGGTCAAAAGTTGTCAGGCAAAAAACTTGGAGCCCTGGTGCAATGGGAGTTCCTGGAGGCATTGTGCATATAATCCATGCAACATCTCTGTTATAATACTATTTATCTACTTCCCAATGCATAGAAACTAAGACTTGCCTAAGGCCATGCATCTCGCTGGCAGAGCTGGAACTGGAATTTGAGAGGTCCTGGATCTTAGCCTCATGCGCAGGCCACTACACCACAAGTCCATCTCAGGGTCTGAAATACTATGGTAACTGAAGGTGCTTCGGGATCCAGTCCGGACAAGTAGTCACTTGAATAAGTTGTCAAAATTGAGAAGATGACTGACTAGCCTCCCAAGTAAATCCTTTTAAACCCTACAGAAATAGCCACCTAATGGAATGAATGAAATGTAAACTAGAAGCCTGACATTTTGAAACCGGTTTAGCACGTTCTGGCTGTCCAAACTGGCATGAGATTTATTGGAATAAATGTGAGGTTTTCCTCTATCTCACGTTGCTGGGTTTGAGTCTGTGGCTTTATTTGATTTTGTTTTATGGTTATATATTTCCTTGGGATGTGTGCTAGTTGTCTTGTTCTGAGTACTCTTTTATGGACCAACAGGGAGCTTGAAACTCTAAGTATTACCTTTCGGGGCCTGTGTTATTTCTATTAACTATGGTGGGAGCACGATCAGGCCATTGGTGTCAAAATTTACCCTTGGACATACATACTGGTGTAACGAGAGTCCTGTGTGCATATCTGGGAGCGGAACTTGGCTTTATATTTTGAGCACACGATTGGGAAGATGAACGGGTCTAATGCTTCAAGACAGCAAGAGGGTGGCAAATGATAGAATTTCTGGTGCATTCTACAAGTATTGTGGGGGCAGGAGTTATTTTCCGTTTGTATTTCCCAATAAAAGACCATTCTGTTAAACTGCCAGTGCATTCTAGATGTTTGATTATAAGCTCTTGTCAGTACAGCAAACTTATCGGACTGAATTTGAGACATTTTTAAACAAATCTTTCTCCAGGGTATGCGTTTTCCTAGCTATACCCTTTTCTCATTCAGTCAGGGGCAGCCAGTCTGGATAGTGGAGTTGTAGAGTTTGATCCTACAGTGAGCTCTATGCCTGTGAAGTCAGAGGAGCTCTGCACAACAGCAGGATCACATCTGTTGTGACTCTTCCTCTGTCTCTCTGAGGGTCTAGCCCATGATTTTCACCATGACAGTGCCCTAGAGAGAGCACTTTTTCCCAGTGCGTTGTCCCCCCTCACAATTCACAATATAGGCCATATGGGAAAGCCCTATAGTATTTAATACAAAAGGATAGCCCTTCTATAGGGCGGCCTAGTTTTAATCATCATCATAAAATTAAACACAGAATTATGTATCTTTATATAAAATTCAACAAAGTGGTTAAAAAACAGCCTTACAGAATGGTTATCCTTTCCTATTCTAGAATTTATTTAGGATAGTTTCTACAGCAACCTATCAATTTCATCCCTATAAAATTCTATAGAACTTTTTTTCTAAGGGAAATAAAGTATAATAATTCCAGGAACATAAAAGATACTGAATTTGAACCCTGGATAGGGAAGTTGACCTACATCACTCTCATTCTTTCTATTCTCCCTCCCTCGTAACTGCCTTCCCTCATGGTTGAGCTTAGTCACTTAGGCCCAGGTTTTTAAAGTCTTTTTGTGCTCACTTAATGCCTAAATCTCTTTTGAAAATGAGATATAGACTCCTAAATCTGTTAGGCATTGCAATGCTGAGCAGAACAATGCCTAAATATTTTTTAAAAATCTGGTCCTAACTATTCAGCTACCTGTTCTAACTGGGTAATAAGTTTACTATCTGATTTGTCCTCCAATTAAATGAATACTAAAGCACATCTGAGCAGAGCTGGGATGCAGTGTGGCTCTTCTTGTCCACACACAAACTTGTTCCACTTCAACTATGCTGATAGAGTTAAAACTATATAACCCCTGATAGTATAAAAGTGCTTATAACTAGTATAGCTTATTCCTGTAAGGAAAGGGGAATGAACTGTACCTTATATCAGTATAACTGCATCCATGCTAGGGGTTGTACCAGTATAACTATATTGGTAAAAAAAAAAATCACCCAATCACACACCCTAACCAAAATAACACATACACACCAGAGAGGGTGAGAACACGAGAGTGAGGTATCACCGTTATAATGCAGGGAAAAGAATGTGTGTGTGTGTGTGTGTGTGTGTGTGTGCAAGCAACAGGGAAGAAATTAAGCAAGCTTGTCTCTTTCTATGTCAGAGGTCAGTATGGGGTAATAGTAACTCAAAATGGAAACAACAATTAGGGTTGGGAAATCTTTGTTTTTATCTCTGGATTGTGTTTCTGGTGTTCAGTAGAGTTACAGTCAAGTCAAAGTTTCCCCCAGCCAATGGCTCATTGGGCTGACATGGTTAAAGCATGTCAGTTTCATAGCCCACAGTACACAAGGGAGTGATGTGGCCAGTATCATGTTTGACTGCCTAACTCCATGGATCAGGTACCCATTTTGCAGTTGGGTGAACTGAAGATGGCCTTTCATTGTGAGATCCATCAAGACTAAACCCATAACCTTCAAGATTGGAGGTCTGGAGTGGTGGCTGAGTGGTTAAGGCACTCAAGTAGAGTTACAGGGAATCTGATAAATGTTTCCTGTTGGTTTACTGTGAATTGAAATCTGGTCTCTGCACCCTGATGTGTCTTTGTCAAACCCCCTTTGACATGCTTGGGAAGTAACACCAACATTTTAAAATGTGGACGCTGTGACGCTACGGTAACCCATCACAGACACCTTAAGATAGGCTCAGATCCATTTGAGGCATCTAAGTAAGAATTTCAGAGGGGCTGAACACTCAGTGGGAGCTCTTCGTTGCTCAACATCTCTAAAATTCAGGCTACATATTTCAGTGCCTAAACGTAGATTTAGGGGCCTACTCTATGCAGCCACATTTGAAAAATGTGGATGGAGATTTTTCCCATCTATTTTTTCCCACTATTCTTACTGGGAGTTAGTGGGTGGAATCTGGGAGAAGGAGTGGTCACTTTATCTTGCAGATAAATATCTGGGGGAAATAAAGCTCCTTGGGGCAGGGACTGTCTGTTTGTTCCATGTTTCTACAGAACCTAGCACAATGGGGACTTGGTCAAAGGCTGCAGCTTATCAGGGCTACCTCAATACAAAATAATAATCATTTTCTTCCCCTTTCCTAGCAGCAATGTCATCTCTGGGATAAACAACTCCAAATGGAGCAGTAAGTTTGGTCTGGGATAGTCTCACTCACAATAAGAACTTCCTAGGTGTATGAATATTCCACCATCCAGGCTTTGCTGATCAACCCTCTCCACCACCTCACACCAAACCACATCACATAAAAATTAATCATCCCACAGAGCTTTAGAAACAGGTGGTCAGCCCTTTCCCTCTTTATTTCACTACATTTGATATGTTGTGATCTAGTAGCAACGAGGTGTTCTTTTAAAATACATTGTCTGTATCCCTGAATTGTAAAACACACAAACAGAAACCCCCAGTCAATTTCCTCTGACACTGTATGGTTTGATAAACACATTTCAAGAGCAGCTGTGCAACTTTTTTTTTTTGGTTCACTCCTCATCCTGTAACAAGTAACTCTTGACCTGTCAAAAGTAGGAAGAGCCATGCGTGCTTCTGTCCAGTCTACGGGCAGAACGAAACCACTTCCTCAGTTTTCTAATAAATATCTTATCGTAAGAGTGCACATATTCTATTTCAGTGCTGCCTCACAAATATTATGCAGACCTAGGCTTCGGGCTATGATAAGGACTGACTCTAGGCCATATATCAGCACAGTGTTCTCCTTTCATGATTTTTTTAAAGTGTAGCTATGCTCTATGGGAAGGCATAGGTCACTCAGCAGTGCTAAAAGTTGTATTAAAAGACAGAGACCTGTTTGGACCTGAGCAGAGGAAGGTTCATAGATATCGTAATGGTTACATTGAGGCTTAGCCAAAAAAAGTTCTGAAACGTAAGTGTAAAGTGTAGATTTCCCACAAAAACTGCTCAAGTTCTGCAGACCAGAAAAAGTTTGAGTTGGTTTCATGGTGCAAATAAAGTAACATCAACTAGTGGTGGTGGTGTGTTGTCCATTTAGAGTACCCCCAAACAGTTTGCCATTCAGAAAGGGAACTCCAGTGCCAAAGTATATCACACCTGCAAAAGTGTGCGGACAACTCTTCCTGTCGAGCCTATTGATTTTGATATATAACTTGGTCAGTGGAGAGAGCGTCATGGTCCCAGGAATAAAAAGAACGAGGAGTACTTGTGGCACCTTAGAGACTAACAAATTTCTGCAAAAAAGCCGCCTCTGCCTCTCCCAGTCTCCCCTGGCCCAGCCTTGAGGGCTGAAACACATTTAGGCAGTCACCACAATAGCAAGTCCCAGACGTCAGAATCATATAAATTAATACAATAATAATAATAATAATTAATAATAAATGTTTTGACATGTTTGTCTTCTTGCATTGGTCTCTGCTGGAATTATGTAAGCACAGGTTGTACTGACACATGTTATTTTCTTTCAGTGGATCTGATGGAAATAAAGGAAATTCGCCCTGGGAAAAATGCAAAGGATTTTGAGCGCGGGAAAGCAACACAGTATAAAGAGCATTGCTTCACTATTTTTTATGGTACCCAGTTTGTTCTCAACACCTTAAGCTTAGCAGGTACTTTTTGTGTGTGTGTGTCTTTCTTCTTTAAACCTTAAACAGTAAACCCTCCAGACTAGGGATTTATAGCATTGACAGAGCAGTAATGCAAAGCTTAGGCTGTTTTTCTTTTTCCCTGGCCTTCCTAACACATACCAAACATTTAAAATTGAGGAGGCTGAGAGAGAGCACCCTTTTCCCCTTACTGCTTTTAATGCCCCTGAATTGTGGCATTTGTAATTTTTGAGTAAAATAATTAATTAGGTGAGATTTTTTTCCTTGTGTTGTTTAAAATGATCATTTTCATGGCTTATGAGTGGGTCATTTTAGGTGTTTGAATTGTTGCAAGCAGCCTTGTGCCCTCCTTGACACCAGCACTGTATGTTTTAGGAAGACGAAATGCCTATTTCTCACTGCAAGGCACAAGTGTGAGGTATAAGCAGGAGATATATAGTAAATCCCTATGTGTATGTTTCTGTTGATCCATTTCTTTATACCCTGCAGCTTCCTGATGCCTCTTTAGAAGGAACATTATAGAGAGTCTTTTTTATGAAGTACATATCTTTTATTCATTCACTCATGTTTAGCAGTGTAGATCCTTTCCGGTTAAATATCTCAGGTGAGATTTTTTTTTTTTAACACTGGAGACCTGGGTGAAATCCTGGCCCTATTGAAGTCTGGAGATTTTGCCATTGGTTTCACTGTGGCCAGGATCTCACCCCTGGGTCTGAAACCTGCCTGGGGTCACAAGTAAAAGTGAATTTAGGATCCATAGCCTAGTTTTTAGTGACCACATCAGAAAAAACAACCACACAACTGGCAGGGTCTGTTTACTTAGGCCATGTCTATACTGCAAAATTAAGTCAACCTAACTTACGTTGGCATACGGTCGTGACAGTAATTACATTGCTTGTGCGTGTCTACACTTTGCTCCTTGTGTCAGCAGTGCGCTTCCTTACCAGGAATGCTTGAATCAATTGTACTATCAGCGTGGGGCATTGTGGGATGGCTTCTGAAAGCCAGTAACAGTTGATGTAACCAACGCAGTGTCTACGCTGACATTGCGTTGACCTAACTATACAACTGTGACTCTACACTCCTCATGGAGGCGGAGTTATTAAGTCGTCATAGCAGGGCAATTACATCGGGAGCAAAATTTAAGTGTAGACACTTCCATAGTTAGGTCAACATAAGCTGGCTTGCATTGACCTAACTCTGTAGTGTTGACCAGACTCTATGAGAGGCCAAGCACTGGAATAGGAGGTGAATTGTATGCTCAAGTGCACTGTAAGGGCTGTGTATGTCTATATGAGGAGAAGGGATGTTAATCAAATTGAAAGGTAGGGAATTGAAAACTAATACAAGGAAATATTTTTATGCGCAAGACAATATTATGCTATGAATCTCTTTGCCACAAGATACCATTGAAGACAAAAGCTTAGAAAGTTTCAAAAATGGATTGGATATTTTTATGGAAAATGAAATCATCAAATTACATTAAAAAGGGTGGTTTAAAAAAAAAAAAAAAAAAAAAAAAAAAAAAAAAAAAAAAAAAAAAAAATAAAAAAAAAAAAAAAAAAAAAAAAAAAAAAAAAAAAAAAAAAAAAAAAGCCAAAACTAGAGTTTGGATGTGATATAAACCCTTATACTTCAGGGCATAAAACAATTTCTAATCAATGGAGATTAGGAAGAAGGGGATAACTATCTACTGAAGGGGTCTTGAATCTTCCTTGGTACAAGAATACATGGACTGCTGGTTTCACTGCATATGGGAATTCCCTTGGTCCTATGCTTGATCAACATTGTCAGTTTCATGAACATTAAATTCACTTGCAAAGTTGTAATAAAAACTGAAGTAATTTTTAAGATGTTCCTAGTAGAGTAGAGAAGTGATCAGTGTGTTGTAAGCATTATAATCCTAACAGCCATAGAGATTTTTTTTAAATGTGGAAGTGATGCACTCCCTAGTTGAGGTACTTTCCCATGTGTGTAAGCAAACCCCATATTTATGCTTGTGAAATAATGTATTGCACAGAGGATTGGTGTACTCAAATGTGGGTTTACATGTGAAGGAGCATGCACAATGAAAATTAATGGCTGCTTGTGAAAATTTGGCTCCACATACCAGATTTGAATTTAGATTAAGCCCATGATATCCCTGAAATTTTAGATTGTGCAGCATCACTTTAAATATAATTGTGCACTCAGCACTGTTGGGCTGTATTTTCCCCTTGTTTTTTTCTCAGAATCTAGTCTCTGCAAGTACTTTGAGAACAATCAGTACCAGGAGGTATGTTGCCATAACACTGGTTCTCAGAACAACATGACTGATATTTTCAATTTCAGGAAAATCCTTTTCTTTATTAAAGCACTTTGTCTTGGTTTCTGAGAACAATACAAAGTAACTGTTACTTAAGGGGGAATGGCAGCTTTCTTTATGGGCAGAATTGCTTTGGGACAGTTAGACTGGCAATGGGTGGTGTCTGTCCTTCCCAAAAAAGTAACTAATTGAAAAAGATTTCCACAGGGATCTGAAGCTGGGCTCTGGCTTCAGTTTTGGAGAATACAGCATTGTTTGAAAGTATACTTTTAAAAACAATCTGTATCTTTTGAGAGACTGTTTTTGTTTTAAAGGATATTGCAGAAATTGCTCAAGTTGGAGATATTGGCTGGAAATAATTCTTCAGGAGGACTGTTTTGGTGGAGGGATGCTTTGATGAATTTCTGAACTGGAATGCAGTAACACAGGGCTGTCCAAATTCTGCCCAACTGAGGGCTGCAAAGGCTGCGCCTAATCTGCAGCATGAAAGGAAAATTGCAACCCACCTGCACCTTTAATAATACAAATTTGTGTCCCACAGGGACTGTAGCTCCCAGAATGCTATCTGACTAGTAGTTACTCAGATCAGGTTGGATCATCACCAGCTGGCCCTTCTGGTTTGTGGGTACTAGAAGTGTAGATGCAAACTCATTTTGGAACAAAATAAAATTTCTAGCCATTTTCCTTCTGAAAATAGACCTGAAAATGTAAAGCTCAGGATGAAAGGAACAAGCATCTGAGCTCTAATTCTGCAGCAGGAGTCTGAGGGAATTTAAAGACTCTTCTCCCAAATACACCTCTTATGCAAGAAGTTAACTTTCCCCCAAACCATAGTCTGGCATAGACTGTGCATAGTGGTGTGATTATGGCAGCCAGGATGAAGGATTTGTTTTGCAGGCCATTCAGAAATATTAAGGATTAGGGTTAGAGCATTGCATGCTGGAATCTGCAGTATCCACCGGCCACATTTTCATTTTAAAGGAGAGGGTGGCTCTGGGCTACATTCAGCCCATGGCATGCACTTCGGTCACCTTGAGAACAGAAGATGGAAAAAGCAAAAATTCTGCTGTATCACAGTGAGAGCCTAGTTGTAGGTTGGCAGTAATTCTGCTGCAGCTTTGAAACTTCTTATGTTCTGATGAACAAAGTTTTAAAAGGAGATGTTTTTGATAGGTCTAACAGTTTTTTTTTTTTTTTAATCCTTAAGAATTAACATAGATTCTTTCATTGGAATGTGTTGGATTGGCAGCGTAAAGCTCTGTAGTGAGATTATCGTAGAGAATGGGTAGCCAACCCACCTCAAACACCAGGGCTTATCTAAACATCACAGATTATGTCTTTATGTATTAATGTTTCTCACAGTGTATTAATCTTTGCAGCTGATTCCAAAGATGATGCTGATAAATGGCTGTGTGGCTTGAATATCTTGCATCAAGAGGTTATGAACGCGTCCACACCTGCAATCACAGAGAGGTACATGGAATTTCCCCCCTTTGTTTATGAGAGACTCTTCAACAGCTTGACACTTCTTTGCAATTTGACAGTGAAAAACTGAAAAGACATTTTCAAGGATGAAACCAGTGTGGTCTGTCAGTTACATTAAGAGCAATACTCTACAGACACATGCTATGCTTAGAAAGTGTGGTCCAAATTCAGATCTTGTAGAAGCATATGCTACTTGATAGTCTTCTATGAAGTTATGGCTACTTACACTGTGAGGGATTTGGCTCTGTGGTTGGTTGGTTGATTTGTTATATAAACTCACCTGGTTCCAGTTTGGATGCCAAAGAAAGTCTTTAAGAAGTTCATGGGAATGTCTGGTCTGTGTGTGTGTTGGCGTCTGTTTCAAGTGAACCAGAGTTTCTCAGGATCTCACAACTAGAACCTCATTTTCCCCCCTCCCCCTTCCCACCACCCAGCCCTGGGCAGAGAATCCCCCTCTTCTCAACAGGCCCTGAGCTCCCTCCCAGACTTGATCTTTTCTCACCCCCTTCACCTTTTGTTAACAGTGGGGGAAAGTCATGGCCTGCTACCCTGTCTTTCTTTATCGGTTCTTTGTCCAAATTGCAGCTCGGGTGTTGATGCCCTGCCCATCTAAATCCAATTTCAACTGGGAAAAAGTATTCCTCACTTCCTGTCTTTAACTTTTGTATGGTGTTGCTCTGTGCTGTTATACAGTTGCTGTGCATCACTCTAGAGGTGTCTGCATTTCAGCAACAACAAAGTGATTCCTGTATAGACAGAGTATATGAAGTTTTTAGTGAAATGCTATGATTATCCTTTGGGATGAAACATGTCTATATAAACAGATCTTCCCTGTCAGTATTGCCAATATCATTAAAGGGATGCTGGCCCTAAAATTGACACTTCTGTCTGATTTATGTTTTTTTAACCTCAGATAGGTAAAAGATTATTACAGCTAAAAGAGATTAAGTGGATTTTCTTTTTCATTTTTACTTCATGCATTTGATGATATTTGAGACCACATCCTCAACTAGTGTCAATCAGTGAAGCTCCATTGACTTAATGGAGCTATGCCAGTTTATACCAGCTGAAGATCTGGCTCCTTTGTGCCCAGTTATTTTCACTGTTTCCCATATGTATGGTTAGTCATTTCCCTTGTTTATGTGGGCTTGTCACACAGCAACAAGGGGACAAAAACATTTTGTTTAGAAATAGGAAAATATTATTGTAAAGCCATAAAAATTAACCAGGGCAGATGCAGCACCTGAAAATGCTAGTGATTCGTTTTTCAGAATGTGCTAGATTTCCAGTTTAAATATCTCTACTTACTTTCATCACTGAAATTGTGATATTGAACAGGCTCTGTTTGCTCTTAATTCTTTAAAATAACTTTTCTGGTTTTTTTTTTTAAGTTGGCTGAGAAAGCAGATCTACTCTGTTGACCAGACTAGAAGGAACAGGTATGAATCTCACCCTTTTTAGATTTTGCTTAGTTTTCATGGTCAGTTTTTCTACCTGAAGTATAGGAGTGGAATTTAAAGTAACAAACATCACTTTGCATAAGAAAGATGTGACTTAGGTAACATGTGAGAGTCCGGGACACTGCACCTGCTCTTTCGTTAGTAATTTGTGTTCAGTTTTGTTATGGAGACATCAAGCATATGAAATTCACTGATGCGTATACATAGTGTAACAGAGAAGGAAATGACCACCACTGAATCATTTTGCTTTTAGCCCTTTCGTCATGGCTGGAGCTAGGATGCGTGTAGTTTTAGGCAGGGAGAGGGGATGTTTTCCCCTTCCCGCTTTCAGCTCCCCACTCCCAGCAGCACCGAGCTGCTTCCTTTGGAGAGGCGAATCAAGTGGGAACCCAGAGGCTGGGACTCTGCTCTCCTGCCTGGGCTATGCCCCCAGCACTGCCTGAGAGGGTGAAGAGAGTGAGGAGGGGCACAGATGGAGTTGGCCTAACAGCAGCAGCCACAACAGTCCTTCCTCCCCACACTGAGTCAGAGCCTTGAGGAGGGGGAGCATGATTGGGTGAAAGGACAGGGGAATCCTTGGAAGGTGAGGTAGGGACAAGGAGATCCATGGGGGGGGGAACAGTCTGAGTAGGGATAGAGAGACCAATGGAGCAGGGTCATCCTGGAGATCCTGGGAGTGGGGTAGGTTAGGCAAGGGGAACACAAGATAGTCCTTGAACATAGAGGTGGGAGGAAGCCAGCAGTGGTCTTTCAGAATTAGATTGATGACTGTGGCAGTGTTCCAGAGAGTTTGCAGAGTTCTCACTTGCAAGAACTTGCTTTGGTAAATATAACTTGGTGAAACTGGCCTGGAGGTTTGCGACTGTTACTCTGTTATGTGTCAGGGGAGGAGACCTAGGGCTTAGGAGTTACCTCAGGATTCATGCTTCTCGGCTGAGGAAGCCGCAGCATATTGTAATTATGGAGGTGGCATATTTGGGTTCCTGTGGGAAATGGAAGCTGCTCACTTCAGGCCCATGCAAAAAATGGTGTAGATTTTAGTCTTCAAAATTTCCCTTTATGGTGAGTGAGAGCGAGAGAGAATCCTTGCTCTGCTAGCTGAGGTGCTGGATAGCCTGTTGCAGTGCAGAGGATGCTCTCTTGCAAATTCAGCTGCAAATTTCTCTTTAGAATTGATGTAAGTTGTACGATGCCTTGAGAAGGAAATTAACCCCTCAGTGGGTGGCACTTTAATGCAGCTTAGCTATCCCGTTTTCCCAGCAGCATTAATGTTTGTACTTCTGGTTCAGTGCAGAAAATAACATTCGTTTCCTCTCATTTAGCCTTTTCCTAAGAGTAAAATAAAACGTTCTCATTGTCTGGATGAAAACATGTTACTGCAGGAAATAACACCATTCTGCAAGCAATCTGTAGTACTGGGCAGATGATTGCGATACAAACCGAGATGGAAGGGCACGAACAGAATTGGGTTCTCAAGCGTAGGGGCTCAGAGAGATTTTAGATATCAGAGACTGACTCGCTTAGTCTGGAGTGGGAGGACAAAGTGTGCCAGCTGCACCATTCTTTACTGGATGCCAGATCACGTCACTGCACTTGGCACCTGCTCTGTTGCTGATGCATTTTGATAAGAAAGCACCACAACAGGGGAGAACCATGAAACAAAGGAAAGCCATACGGGGAAAGAAGCTTCAGGAGATACTACATCTAGTTAAGGTTATGTTAGTTTCCATAGTTGTTTTACCACTGGAAGGTAACATAACTGACCCCCCTTGGATGTCTGCTGAATTGTGAGGTGATGGTGTTTTCACTTTTCCCAGAGAGGATTCCCACCTTTGGAAAACTCCAGGAAACAGATGAATGCTGCAATTAACTTTTTTTTTTTTTAAATTTTATTTTTAGTCACCTAATTATAAAGCTGACACTTCCCGGCTAGCCCCAGCAGTGAAGCTTTGCTGCCATATGCAGTAATGAAGTCAGCCCTAGGTTTAGGCCTTTGCTTGCCTGTCCAGAAAGAGCTGTTGAAAGGCAGTGTGCTCAGCCCCGTCGGTGCAATGGGAGAAGCGTGTGTTCTAATGGTCTGACAACAGGACCAGGACCTTCCTGAGTTCTAATCTTGGCTCCAATACTGACTCCCTCTTTGGCTCTTGACTGATCTCTCAGTTTCCATGTCTCTTGACTGCTCTGCCTCAGTTTCCATGTCTGCAAAATGGGGATGACGACACCTCACAGGGCAGTTGTGTGGATGGATATTTGTAAAACACTTTTTGAAGATCAAAAGGGTTTCTTACAAGTGTTAATTGTTGGGTTTTTTGCTCTCGTGACCATTTCTAGCCAGTGCTTGGAGTAGCATTGGCATCTAAAGGGTCACAACAAAGGCCTAGAACTTGAGGCCTTGGTTCCCATCCCTGCTCTGCCAGAGACACTCTATGTGACTACTTAGTCGCTGTGTGCCTCAGTTTCCCCATCTGTAAAATGGGGATGATAGCACTGTTCTGGGAATATGTAAATTAAAGATCGTGAGGCACTCTGATACACTGAAACCAAAGCTGAAGTTGATGAGGGAGGTGGGAGGTCTGAAGCCCCATTCGCTCCTCAGCCGCAGGGGGAGGGGTCACTGTACAGAGGTAGCTGCTCCACAGTTTGCTCAGCCCCCATGCATCGGGACCCCCCCCTCCCGCACCCAGAACCCCACCACTGAGCCCTCTGCACCTGAGCCCATACCCCGCCGAGCCTCACCCCCTGCACCCAAACCACCCTCCCGCTGAACCCCCTGCATCAGGACCCCCACCCTGAGGAGCCCCACCTCCCACACCTGGACCACCTCAACAAGCCCCCCGCACCTGGACCCCCACCTCACTGAGCCCCAACCAGCTGCATCCAGATCCCCACACCTCCAGCACCCGGAGCCCCTGACACCCAGAGCCCCCCTGAGTCCCAACCACCATCACATGGACCATTACCCCTCTACACCTCCCCACTGAGCCCCTGTGCATCCAGAGCCCCTCCCCCACACCTAGGCACCCCACTGAGCCACCTGCACCCAGATTGCCCCACACAGAACCCTCTCACCCCACAGCTGGATCCTCACACTAAGCCTCTCCACACTTCGATCCTGCCAGGCTGAGCCTGTCTGCCCCACACATGGATTGTTCCTCTTGCTTGCTATCTTGGTGCATCTAGCACGGAGGGGGCAGGGTCCCGGGGTGTTTCTGGGGCAGACCTGGCCCTTGTGCTTTGTCAGCGTTGGGTGCAGCCTCACTGCCAAGTCCAGGTCCCAGGGTGGGGGCTGCAGGGTGATCTTCCACCCTGGGACACGGTGGCCCCCACTGCCATGCTGGAGCCTCCACATTTATTTATTGACAAATAAAATATGCAGAATTTTTATTTTTTTTTTTGGCACAAAATTCCCTCAGGAGTATTGTGGCTCTTCTCTAAATCCTCTCCAATTTATCCAAATGTGAATTGTGGACACTAGAGCTGGACAATGGGTGTGGATGATGCTATGTCTTCAAAGGAACCCCTCTCTGGAGTTATTCATGTGCAAATTTTGCTTGAGTAAGGAGTATAGGAGCATGCCCCGGGGTTGCATGAGCAGTCTTTCATCAATAAAAACCAACTGTAATACCTTAATGAAAAGCGGTTGGAATTGATGTCTGAAGTTATCAAATGCTGTTCTAGATTTCATATTCCTAAAAATGTGTGTACAAGTGTTGTTCCTGCATGATTGCAGAATACCTGGTTTGGAGAAGGACAACTGTGCGTATATGTTGGAGATGTGCCAACTGTCCATTTGTGTCTGTATTCGTGTGTGCATAAACAGGTTCAGGCTGAATTTTATGGGACCCAGAATTGATAAGCTATTTTTTCTGATCACAAAACCAGGGACTGGTTTAAGGGCAATTGAATTTTGTATCTTTAACTTTTACAACATTTGCTACCTATGTATCTTTAAAAAGGAAATTTACTGTTTTTATAACAAGGTCGGTATAGGTTAGTCCAGGAGTGGGCAAACTTTTTGGCCTGAGGGCCACATCTGGGTATAGAAATTATATGGTGGGCCAGGAATGCTCACGAAATTGGGGTTGGGGTGTGGGAGGGGGTGAGGGCTCTGGCTGGATGTGCGGCTCCGGGGTGGGGCCAGAAATGAGGAGTTCAGAGTGCAGGAGGGGGATCCGGGCTGGGGTAGGCGGGTGGGGTGCGGGGTGGTGGGGCTGGGGATGAGGGGTTTGGGGTGTAGGAGGGTGCTCTGGGATGGGACTGAGGGGTTCAGAGGGCGGGTAGGGTATCAGGGCCTGGGCTGGTTGGTTGGGGCGCCGGGGTGTGGCTCAGGGGTGCAGGCCCCAGGTGGCGCTTACCTGAAGGGGCTCCTGGAAGCAGCGGCATGTTCCCCCCCCATGGCTCCTATGTGGAAGCACAGCCAGGCGGCTCTTCTGCGTGCTGCACTGTCCACAGGTGGTGCCCCTGCAGCTCCCATTGGCTGCAGTTCCTGGCCAATGGGAGCTGTGGGGGCAGCGCTGGGGCGGGGACAGCGTGCGGAATCCCCTGGCTGCCCCTATGGGTAGGAGCCGGAGGGGGGACATGCTGCTGCTTCCAGGAGCTGTGCGGAGTGGCCCCCGACCCTGGCTGGAGCGCTGGAGCGGGGCAAGCCCCAGTCTAGACCCCACTCCCCAGTAGGAGCTCGAGGGCTAGATTAAAATGGCTGGCGGGCCAGATTTGGCCTACAGGCTGTAGTTTGCCTACCCCTGGTTTAGTCCAACTTTCAAAGAAGTCAGTAGACTTCTGTTGCACTTGGATTGATCTATGGACAGAGAATGTTTTAAAAATGTATCAATAATTTAACTTTTGTGTTGATGAAAATATATGCCACTGGATAGTTGTAGGTTGCATAGATACTAATAGAATGCTGTTTTTGCCCTCTTGTTTTTCAGTATCAGCCTTAGAGAACTGAAGACCATACTTCCCTTAGTAAACTTCAAAGTAGGCAGCGTGAAATTCTTGAAGGATAAATTTGCGGTAATTATCCAAAGCACCTGATGTCCAATATTTGGTGAAAATATTTATTGACTCTTATATACCGCATCTTACCTGTGGCTTTTGCTTCTTATCATGTGACTTAATCTGATTTATATTGGTTAATTTCAGAGTTTAGGTTTGAATGTAATGCAGAAGAGTTTTTTAATTATCTTTATTACTGTTATTAATACTGCAGTATTGTCCAAAGTCAAAATCAGGCTTATGGCCCTCTTGTCGGCACTCCAAATGTGTAGGAAGATCTGGTCACTGCCTGTTTTAAGGCTAGAATTTGCATTATGAATGAAGCAATACTTTTGGTTTCTATTCAATGTGAACTACTGTTAATAACTTTTGAGGCCCCTTTGCATCCCTGCAGGAACATTAAAGATCCCCTTATTTTTCCTGCTTTATACCTCTCTATTCTCCAAGTCCCAAATTATAGTTATTGGTACTCTGGCTAACGAGCACTGAATGAGTCATTCTTCAGAATCTGCCAGCTGTCTTCTTAAGTGAGCAACTAGCTAACTGCCTGCTGGTACTCTGAGCCTGGGTAGTGGACAGAGATGAGGGGCAGGGACAGTGTATTACAAATCAAGATTCTGTTTGTTCAGATAGCATATTAATGTTGTTAAGAAATCAATTAGCCATCATGTCAAAACAATTAAAGTAAAAGTATGGCAGACATATGTGCCTTGGAAGACTGTGGCACCTGGACAGGGCCGGCTCCAGGCACCAGCTTAACAAGCAAGTGCTTGGGGCGGCCAAGGGAGAGGGGCGGCACCTGCGGCACTTCGGGGGAGGCAGGTCCCTCACTCCTTCTAGGAGCGAAGGACCTGCTGCTGAACTGCTGCAGCCAATCGCGGCTTTTTTTTTTTTTTCTCAATTGCCGCCGGCGATCGCGGCTTTTTTTTTTTTGCTTGGGGCGGCAGAAATGCTGGAGCCGGCCCTGCACCTGGAAAGGGTATGTCACATGTGTTGCTGTACAGGTGTAACCTAGGATATTCCAAATACACTGTTTAATACTTCCTCCTCACAGGAAATAGGAGCTCCCAAAGAAGAACTTAGCTTCGAACAATTTCACGTGTTCTACAAGAAAATTATGTTTGAACAGCAGAAATCGGTAAGCTCATTTATAGATAGATAGCCAATCTCTACATACTATTATCCTGCTTGGTTTGAATAAAAGGTGAATACTGATTTCTCCTCCTTACCCCCACCATAGAGAAGCCCTCACTTACAGTATTGTATTTGATGTGTCTGTGACAATCAATGCCAATAACTGGATTCATAAAATAAATACATAAGAAGTTTGTGTTGCTTCTTAGGTGTTTAAAAGGTGAAAGTGTGCACACATGTAATGGGATTTTGTTTGTCATGTGAGTCTTTCTGACCAGTTTGTAGGATGTCCTTAGTCAGGTGCAATTAATAAATGTTAAGTGAAATAAGGGTTTCATTTTTGCATGACTTCCCAATTTAATTTATCCCATATGCCAAAGGATACTCTTTAAATTATGCCGGTGACATGTCATGATCACCAAATAATGACCACTGCCATTCTCACTTATGTCTAGAGATGATACGTGAATATGTTTGGTGTACTGCATGACATGCTTGTGACAGTGTAAATGCCATGGAATTATGCTAGTGATTTATTTGGTTAACTATTCGATCACTACTTTCCAAATGTTCATTCCATCCAGATTCATGAAGTCAATGGGAGCTGTAAGTGTTTAGCATCTCTGAAAATCAGGGCTCTTACTTAGGTGCCTCACTTTAGCACCCAAGTTTGAAAATGTTGGCATAAATATCTGAATGCTAGTTTCTGCACCCTGTTAATTGTGCCTGCAAATATGTAGGACATTGTCAAAACTGAAGCCTTCTATCCTCAGTTGTACATGGGCATGGTTTATTAGTAATTCTTTTTTTCAGCTTTGCAGATTAAGCATAATCATTGTAATGTAAAATGCTATTAAAAAGACTTCTTTGTTTAGCTAACCTTGTTGATGTCTCTTTTCATGACACTTCACTTAAACAGAAAAAAGTTACTTAAAGAGGAGAGCATAGCACAGTATAGTGAGGTTATCTGATTGACTAGTTATCTGATTGTCCACACCCTTGGTGCATCATTTCAAGGAGACTCCTCAACTTGCTTAATTACTGTTTACAACTAAGTTTCCCAAGCTCTGTACTCTGCTGGTCCAACCTGGAGGCCATTTAGTTTAGATTTTGTATCCAGGTGACTAAATATGATACAAAATACATGTTTCCAGTTTTTCTGGACAATCTAGCAGGAAACTTGACTGCTTGTGTTTATGATGTGCATTAGCAAAACCAAGTTTGGCTGTGAATTGTGTGCTTTTACATGGAGAAGGCCTGAAGTGTAATCACGACACATGACAGTCTGTTGTTTCTTACTTTTCATTTTAACTCAAAATTTATCGTGCTAACATAGCTTGTATAAAATGCAAGTAGACATTTCTGTCCCTGCTAATAGTTACAGATATTTCTGATCATTGTGTGTCTCTCTTTTTCCCCCCCTCTTCTTAAGATTCTTGATGAATTCAAAAAGGATTCTTCCGTGTTCATTCTTGGGTGAGATTTCCTGTTACTATAATTTTGTGCATGTGTGTGTTGGTTATAACACTGCAGGACTTTGCATACCCAAAGATTTCATGGAATCTCAAAGTCCATTCATATTTTTAAGTGATGTCACTGTTCTCTATTATGATATTTTCATTAGTGACCAGAGGTGGCATATCTTGTTGCTATGGTACTCATTAAGATGAATGAAAATTTTTCATATACCGTTTTATATGAATTTTAACATCTCACATTTTAAGACACTCTTCCTAAAATTCTGACTTCAGTGGAAGATTTCCTGAGTAAGGACAGAGTAAAAGTGGCATAAGGAAGCTGTTGATAAGAGCCAATACTTTGCCCACAGATGGATTTCAGTCAGAGCTGCTCATGCTTAGCCTAGGACAGAAGTTGTCTCTGTGTCTTCTGATGAAGAAGTTTAATTTTTAACTGAAGAGGCGTGTGGTGCATGGACTCGACAGAAGCAGGGCAGAATTCTAATCCCAAATCATGGAATGTCATTGAATCTCAGTTTCCCTGTCTGTAAAATGGGTATAATATTTATTTAGGGGAGTTGAAAATTAACTGTTTGTACAGCATGTTGAAGAAATGAGATGCTGCAGCATAAAAGTGACAAGCATTGCTGCTATTATACTTTTCTGAGACTAGTTTTTCATAACTTTGAACATTACATCTACAATTTTGTTTAAAGCATTTGAGAAGTTCCTTTAGAAATGGTTGCCTTTAATATAGGGCCCAATTCTTTAGCCTACTGAGTAGAATTTATTGAACTCATTGGGACTGCTGGCATCAGGTTTTGGTTCTCCATGTCAGCTCATCCAATAAATATCCAGAAGAAATGGCTTATGGGATTATGGCTATGCAAATAATTTACAATAATAATATTGTTATAGTGCCATAATTAAGATGCACAACATCCTAGTGAGGTGAGTGTTGTTTCCACTTTACAAAAAGGTAAACAGAGAGAAGTTAAGTAACTTGCCCAGGGTGACAGAGTGAGTCATTATGAAAGCTGGGAAGGAAACCCAGAAGCTCTGATTCAAAGTCTTGTGATCCAGATGCTAGAGAGCTGCATTTGGGGCCTGATCCAAAGCCTATTAAAGATAATGGAAAGACCCCCTTCAACTTCAGTGGACTTCGGATGAGGTTGTAAATTCATGATATAATTTACTTGGTTCTCTACCATGGTCCTGCTATGGCCCTGACTTAACTGATATTTGATCTACCCCATTTTTTTTTTAATTAAACATTAAATTTTTCCCTTTCCTCTGGTCTAGAAATACTGACCGTCCAGATGCTTCAGCAGTTCATTTGCATGACTTCCAGAGATTTTTGCTACACGAGCAGCAGGTGAGAAGGTTATGAAACTCAGAATTCTTCCTCACCAAGGTTCACAGCGTTATGTATTTTTCAAAGAGTCACAGTCTGATATACAGGATGACTGATGATAATTGGCATTGAACCTTGTGGGCTAAATCTGAGCATTGGTCTTAATTATTAAGGCATGATCTTTCATTGAGCTACTGTTTTTCAACTGCACAAAGAACAAAAAGGTGTGCAAATGGATTTTTCTGGCCTCTGCTAAGCTGCTAAATAAACTGAGGTGGTTATTGACTGACGACATGTAAATGTCAAGGATGATACCCTGGCCCCTTTGTGGGTGACACCATGTAAACATGTGGACTGAAATCCTGGCTCTGGGCCCATTGTGGCTGGCACGATGTAAACGTTTGGGGTGGTGTGCCAGCCCCATTGGAATCGAAGAGAGTTTTGCCATTGACTTGAAAAGGGCCGGAATTTCACTCCTGATGGGTGCTCTCTTTGAAGAAGTTGCCCTGTACTTGCAGGCAGTTGGGTTCAGTGATCTGGGAACGGGCTTGTCTTCATTTGTAACAGCTCTGATCCTGATTGACAGACAGCATGGTTTAGTTTGACTGATAAAGTAATGAATTAATTAATTAAAAAAAATTGTCAGGCCAAAGATTCACTAAAGGAACAAAGCAGTTCATTTTTGAAGCTGTCTGCTGTATTACAGTGTGCATAGTCTACATCTTTGGAAAGTCTGGAAGTCTTCTGTACGTTTAAGCTTTAAGACGTTCCACAGCCACTACTGAACTCCAAGTTTGCAAATTTGTTTGAACACTCAAATCAAACACTGAAGTTCATTGTTCCCATGCATTCCCTGTATGGGAATACCTAATATCTTTTCCCCTACAAAACTGTTGAAAGAGCATAAAGGTTGTAAAGTTAGGAGAGACCAGAATGAAGATCTTCTCTGTCTTCAGTAGGGCCAGGATTTCACCCATATATAGAGTCCCCACCTGTGACAGCCTAGCATTTAGACAGAGGGCATCTTAGATCCCTAAAACATCACATAGGCTTTTCTTCAGCTAGGAAAGACATTATCTTTTATTTTTAAACTATCATTTATTATTTTATTTCTGTAATGCCTTCGAGCTCTAGTCACTGACCAGACTATTGTGCTAGGCCTTGGACAAACATTTAACAAAAAGACATTCCTGAATATTCTTTGGGGAAAAAAACATGAGCCTAAATTACAGTAGAAAAATTCAGTGAACTCAAACAGCTAGAGAGGTTTGTAAAACCTCCAGATATTCTGGTTTCACCCACTTACAAGTATTGGTATGTGATCTTAGACACTGATTTTAAATGCAGCAGTAGCCTGAACCACTGAGAGTCTTTCTTACTGGATGGGTTCATCAAAAGCTGCAGTTCTGTTAACTGTAGGCAATGAAGAACGTAGTTTAGTAAATCACTGCTATGGGCGTCTGTCTGTCTATTTCATATATATATAATATATAATTTCATTCACAAAGTCTTATTACCTTTTTTGATAATAAAATAAAACAACTTAAATGATAAACTTTTTTTAATTAAAGGAGTCTTGGGCACAGGATCTCAGTAAAGTCCGAGAACGAATGACAAAGTTTATAGATGACACTATGAGAGAAACTACTGAGCCCTTCCTCTTTGTGGATGAGGTGAGATAAAATGTTTTCTTATAGTTCTATATATGTTTAACTTTCTCTTCTAGTTCCTTGAAATTTAGTTTGCTGGGCAAATCCCCCTCTATTAGCAAGAAGGCAGTTCCTCTAAGCTCTGTTGTTAGTGTTATATTCTTTTTTCTTTTCTGATTGCATGCATTTAAATCCATTCTCTTTTTTTATGTTTTAGTTTCTCACTTACCTTTTCTCAAAAGAAAACAGTATTTGGGATGATAAATATGATGCAGTAGATGCTCAGGATATGAATAACCCTTTGTCCCACTACTGGATTTCTTCCTCTCACAACACGTAAGTTTCCAAAATCTTGATCGTCTCTGATGAGACAGACCTGGTGTATGTTAAGAGAAGCAAATATTAGTTTAAGTTTTATGCCAGGGGTGCTCAGACTGGATCTGTGAAGCCTTCCTGAGAAATTGCATCTGATAAGACTCGCTGACTTTTTCACTGAGTTATAGTGGCAGAAGACACAACCCCTTCCCTCCATCTCCCCTTTCGCCCCCAACAGAAGAGTACAAGAAACTTTGTTAAAAAAATGTAGTCCAGAAGCTGAGTTCAGACTGCCACAGTGAGCTTCCTGTAACTCCTTGATGCCAGAAGATGGGGATTGAATGACTGTGGGTGCAAAAATTCATGCTAATGAAGGAGTCTCCGCTCCTCTTGACACCTACAGCCTTGTTCAGTTAGCATCATTGTGCCTGGGCATTACAATGCCTAAAGGGTCAAATCCTGCTGGCCACATGTAGCGGGACTTTTGCCTGAAACTGGGCTGCAGAATTTGGATCAAAGTCCTGTCAGAGAGTCTCCATGGGACACGTTATTTACCACTTCATTTCACTGTGGTGGCTTGTATTTACCGAGAGATACCAGTAGTCTGAGCATCACCTGTATTACAGCATTTTAATCTGTTGGGCATGCATCTGTGATTATAAACATCTAGAGAAGGGTTACGATAGTATTTTGAGCTTATATATTATCTACAGTTACAAAAGAAGCGGCCTGGTGTCCTTGCTCCCAGGCCGCTTCTAAAATCAAAATAATATGTAATATAACTTTAGCATGGTTGGATCATCTTGGGGAAACTGTCGTCCTCCTTTATATGACCTGAAATGTAGCAGAACTGTGATGGTTGTTCTGAGCAAGATGGGGGAAGAGCAGGCTGCTGGTGAGAGTGGGGACACTGGGATAGACCAAAGCTCTGTGACAATTCACACTGCAGAAGGGGGTTGTTCAGGGAAGAGGAAGCATGTGGCTAATGGATCTTGAAACAACACGTTTCCACTGGTTAGAAACTAGCCCTACATGGCCTTTGTATGGGAGACAAGGATTCTAGCAGAGAGGGACCACAGGTGCTGCTATACAAAGGCATATGGGAACGGAATTAAAAGTAGCAACCTTTACTTTGATCTTCCTTATTGTTCTGGATTTATTGTACAACCAAAATGCGTTCTGTGTTTAATAAATTGTTGGCAATTACCATTTTGGGGGCGGGTTTCCTGTTAAACATTTTACTATTATGAATCATGTTTGTTATAATGGTGCCCCATTGTGTTAGGTGCTGTAGAGAGTATTAGATGGTCTCTGTTCCAGTCAGTTTACAATCTGAATAGATAAGACACACACAGGCTAAGGGAAGGGGTATAACACAAGTAGAGTGAGCAGTTTGATAGCAGCAAATGTCATGTTAGTGCCACGATTAATTTTTTGGGGTGCGTTTACTTGGGGATCAGCTAGATGGAAAGAGAAGAAAACTGGGGTGAGAAGGTACAGGTCAGGTGAGAAGAGGGTAAGGGGAGCAGGTGTGGAGTGAAACTGAGGCAGAGAGACTGCGAAGGAGTGGTAAGAAGAGAGTGGGTGGGTTGGAGCAAACATCCAGTCGGCACAATGCAGAGAAAGTTTGGCCAAAACCGTAGAAATTCTCTGAACTGTAGTAAGGCTCTCAGTACTTGTCCTCTGTGAACTGTGGCATGCAAACTGTTAGGCCAGATACAAATCTATGTGGTGGTGAATTTTCATACTTAAACAGTACTGGATGCAACAGCAACATAACAAAATGGAATGTTAATTTACAGGGATGGGGAAGTTTATCATCTAACATTGTTTTAAAAAAAGAAAAAGTGGAGAAAATATCCCAAGGAGTTTAAATAACATGTATAATAAGAAAAAAATGGCTCATGGAGTATATGGGGACCTTTTCCCTTTCACTAGACAGGTATGCTGTTTGACCTGGCCTCGACTTGGTGGAGTTTGGATATATTGTAGAGATATGTTCTACTCTACAAAAAGCTGGCAAGGGGCAATGAATGAACTCTTGGAAATTCTTGCTAACTGATCCATGCCAAGGTGCTTTAGCATCTGATTCAGAGGAGTCCACTCATTTCATAGAGAGTCAAAAATTCAGTATTCAAAACTTCCACAATAGAAAAAGATTCAACATTCAGAAATTCTGCAATAGAATATATGAGACCCTTTTTAGAATTGTTCCCTTCCTTCTGATGGTCTCTCTTTACTATTCAGATACCTCACAGGAGACCAGCTTCGAAGTGAATCTTCCACAGAAGCTTATATCAGGTGCCTTCGAATGGGATGTCGATGTATTGAGCGTGAGTAACAAGCTTGTGGAGTGGTTTGTGACAGGAATGCTTTTGTTCTCCACCTTTGCATAGCTTCCTGTGGTTGCTAAACACAGCAAAACCAAAACTTGTAGTTTTTTTAACACAAAATTAATCCTCTCTTTTTGTTTAAAGGATGTGCTGACTATTAGAACCAACGTTCTTCAGAATTCCATCATTTCCCTGCTCGCTTGCTCTTCTTTTATTCCTTTGAAACACTAAAATTCAAGCAGCTCTTTGAAAACCTATTCCAGTGTGTACACCAGAGATGAAGCTACCAGAATGACCAAATTAATTGGTTAAGCCCCAGCGTGCCCTTCTCCAGTACATCTAGGATAGGGGTTTGCAGCTAATTGATTTAATTACCCTGATGCATATTTTCTTAATTTAGACAAAGCCACAGTCCCTCTAGATTTGTATGTTTTGGTGTCACAAAATTTGTATCAGCCAGCTAACTTTTTATAAAAGTTAATTTCCCCATGCTCTGTTTTCCACTAACTGCAAGAAAAGAGCTTCTTTAGTTCTGCTCTTGTGCATCTTACAGAAGCATTTGGTCAAAACCTCATGATATTCACCACTTCAGTCTGGCCAGGCACCACTCACTGACTCTTTGTTGCACTTGTTGCTATTGCTTCTCAATCCTAATTACAGGAGCCCCCAGTCTGCAGTTGTTTACTCTGATAATTAAGAGTTTATCTTGAGTAAGGACTTCAGGACTGGGATCAAGAAGACTTAACTGGACAAACTTTCTAAATCTCTCTTGGAGCAGCATATTGCCCCTTTAAACTGTGGTGGACACTAGTAAACCTAGAATTCAGCTGCCTAAACTCCTACTTTTCTGTTCCTAGCTGCGTGTGCTTTTAGAACCTCCATATTCTATTTTTTTATTACCATTACTTTATGCAAACTTAATCTCCTTTGTGAGGGATATAAATCTACTTAGCAAATCATTTTAATATAACATAAAAGTATATCACTCATTGTAGGAAACACTGTGGAGTGCTGAATGTGTGTTGTGTTTTGTATATTGGAGTTATTTAGATGGCCTCTTTATTTCTTCCATTGTCTGCACTAGTGGATTGCTGGGATGGTCCTGACGGGAAGCCGATCATTTATCATGGATGGACACGGACAACAAAAATCAAATTCGATGACGTGGTGCAGGCAATCAAGGATCATGCATTTGTCACATCCGAGTGGGTTTTCGTTAATGTATAAACTTGGTTTAGAGGATTTTAGAGCTTTCCTCAGGAGAAAAGAAACCTTTCATGTTTGATTAATTGAAAAGGCTAAGATGCCTGTCTTTTCCCTAATGTGGTTGGTTTTTTTTGTAAATCACCAAGAGTTTTAGATCTTAATAGATCCTATTTTCAAGAAAAGGCCCACAAAATGTCAGGATGCTGCTCGGGCAGGTAGGAAATGCCCCCAACAGGCTCCCCATCTCCCTGCTTGAGACCTTGTCTGTAAAGATGAGTTTGCGGCTGTAAAACTTTAATAAATGTGATTTTAAAAATACTAGAATTGGAGAGCAGAGCATCAGTGAGAGGGAAGCTCACAGCCCCAAACTTACCATCGTAGATGAGGTTGCAGCTGAGGAGATGGGAAATCCCTGCTCATGCTTCCCGCAGTGATAACATGGGCTGCAGCAGTGTCTCAGCTCTCCTCCACATTAAAACACCTTTAATAGGAAAAGTGTTACCTGTTGGCAGTAAGGAGGCAGGAAGGATTTGGGGCTGCAGGCTCCTTTACTCCTCACCATGCAAGGTAACTGGCTGGCCATAGAGGAGAGAACGTATTTCACCCTCTTGCGGGTGGGACAGGCTAGGAGCTCTAGGAGATGAAATGCCTCCCAAAGCTCCCACTGGGGTTGTTGCCGTCTACGTGAGTCTGAGCCTGTTGTCAGTTGCAACAATCTGGCACATCGTTATTTTGGTTGGAAACACTTCATTTTTGGGAGCTCGATAATGAAGAAAAGGCGTCTTAATATTTAGGGTGTCCCAAGCCTCTTTGTTGCAGTTGGCTTACTGAGCTGCCTGGGTATCCTCGCCATGATTAGACATTCAGATAACCATCTACAGTGCAGATAGGGGTCCAGTGCTTCAGACATGTCAAACCATCAGCATGGTGAATGTATTGAGGAATGCACTGGCACTTCCTCACACTGCTCATGTTTGGTGGTGGTGATGCGATCCAGTGATTGCACGTCTGTAGACTTTCCCCAGAGCCACTCAGTCCTCAGTTTGCTTTGGATTTTTTCCCCCCCTGCCCTGGCTTTTTCAGAAGCAGAAATTGAATGTGCCTCTGCCTTTCTGTTCCCTTTTACCAAGGTTCCCAGTGATCCTGTCGATTGAAGAGCACTGCAGTGTGGAACAGCAGCGCCACATGGCCAAAGTATTCAAGGAGGTGTTTGGGAACCAACTCCTAATGAAGCCAATCGAAGTCAGTGCAGATCAGCTGCCGTCGCCAACCCAGCTGAAAGAAAAATTCATCATCAAGGCATGTTTCCTTTACTAAGAGTCCCCAGTGTGTTTTGGTAGTTAGAACTGGAGAGTGGGAGCCAGGACGCCTGGCTCAGCTGCTTAGACACTGTATGGCCTTGGACAAGTCTCTTAATAGATTCATGTCTCTGATTGCTTGCATAATATTGGTTTAATTGTAAAGCATTTGGGGCCCCTTTGGGCTTGAAGAGGGTACATGCTGCAAGTGCACGTGACTATCATTTGGCAACATTTTATTGAGTTTTGTTAAAATACATACTAAATTGCTTGCTATTGGCTTTCTTTGTAATTAATGTTGCTGGTTCAAGTGCCCGAAGAAATGTCTTTTCTAAAGGTCTCCCAGCAAACCTTTCAGCCTCTAAAATGTCACCATTAAATTTCAGTGAGGTTCACTGCTACAGAGGCTCATCATAGACCTTCTGCACAATAACATTGTGCTTAAAAATGTTAAAAGTGTTCTCTTGAGTGGAAAATCACATTAATATTTCATTCTAATGGATCACAAAGCACTTTACAGACTGAATTTTCAAAAGATGCCACTTACCGTAAATTGCAAAGGCAAATGAACACTCTGGCACACAAAAAGAGTAAAGATGTGATTTACATATGCAATTTAGGTTGCAACTTTGAAAAATGGAGGTTTCCCTTAATGATAGGGATCAGTTACTCTTAGAATCACTCAATCCACCCAGTGGAACTCAGCAGACATTTTGATCCAACAGTACCACACAGCAGTGTTTAGGTAGGTAAGTGGAAGAACAGCTTCTCCAGTTAAAACTGCAATGGAGTTTTCAGAAAATTAGAAAGCTGGAATTTGGCAAGAACACTGGGGCAAACTCACCATGTTTTCACATAAAAGAAAATAATAATGACGACTCTGGTTGATCAAGGCTTCTGCCTTACAGCTCCTATTAGAAAACAATAACATAGATTCTAAACTTGTAGACAAAAGACACATTCAGTGCAAGTACAGTACATGGAAATGCATGGAAATGGCAGCAGGGCATTCCATTATGAGTCACAAAGGAGCACAATGTAGAGCATTCTGATCTATAAGTTTAGATCTTATCTGTGAATTCTTACACTGTGTGACCATATAAAGCATGGAAGAGAAATTGCTTGCATGTAGCCGCCATAATCTATATCTATAGTACCATTGTCCCTACAGATTCCAAAGTGGTTTGCAAACTACAGTAAAACCTGCAGAAGAGAAAAGTTTCATCAGGCAACTTCCTGTCCTGAGGGTGCCTCAAAGAATCCCCAAACACGGGCCACTAGTTTGCAATGAGCTTTGGCCCATGACTCAGATTTCCCTTTAGTGTGTTTTGTCTGTGAACATTCATGTAAACTCTCACTCTGAAGAAAAATGCCAGTGAGATC